ATTGACCGGATTATGCAAGTGTGTGTTCTGGGGTCATGTTCGTTCTTGGAAGTTCCTGTTGCCTGTCAGGGTCATGGCGCAGCATCTTTTCTAAGTCGCGGCGACTTCGAGCTTCTCGTCTTGAGCGAGGCTTAGGAACGTTGGATTTCGGAATCTTCAAGCTTGGATGATCTAGCGTGCAAGCACGCTGCCACTCGAGGCTGGGTGAAGCACAGGAGCAACGCACAAAGAGCTTTCGAGATGTCAAATCGATCAGCTGAAGCTTAAGAATCGTAACTCCAAGCTTTGAGCGGGGTGTTCTATTCAGACTTGGCCGTCGTTGCTAGTGATGGTGTTGGCAGTAAAGTTCTAGCTCCAGGTAGGTGCAGGTTCCGTGCCCAAACTCTTTGTGCATATGATCAGCTCTACCTAACTGTCCCATTTGCCATGTTGAGAGCCGAAGTGAGCCGTAGAGAATAGCTGGTGATAGATGAGGCAGCACAGAACATCATGGAGCCAAGGACCAAGGTGCTGCTCAGTGCACGCTGCTGCGAAGGTATTCACTGGGAGCGGCGACCTCAATGACTTTCATGTTTGGCAATTCGGGAGGGAGAGGCAGACACCCCAGAGAGGTTGCGGAATAGGGTGCACATCGTCAGGCCGCGAACACAATTTGACAACATACAGAGAAATCTGAACATAGCAAACAGGAGGCCGTCGTCAGTAGAGTCTCCATGCTTCTCAGACATGATGTCATCTGTTGTCATGGCCTGCTTGGCAGTTCAATCTTGCAGCCAGTTTTGCTCAGGTTAATTACAGAGCTTGTGAGTAAAGCGCAGCACTGCTCAGCATTATCAGGCTCACATACGAAGGCACATCCAAGGGTGCTAGGCCGATAGGACTGCTAGAGCAGTTCCTTGCCATCCAAGCCGCGATGGCGGGACGCTCGGCAGGACTCAGTCTCGATGAGGACGAGGATTTCCAGGACTGCGCCAGTGCCCACAGTGACTAGGTAGGCCTTTGAGATACTTTATATTTTCCCTTATTGGGCTTAAGAGGACCCTATTTACTAATCCTTTTCAGAGGCTTTAAAGGGCCAACCAGGTGAGGGGCAGGACGAGCTCGATGCATGGCTCGATGCAGCCTCGGAAGCGAGCCAGGGCCTGTGAATACACAGCAGGCATCGCCATCTCCAGTCATGGTTGCAATTCAAGGCCCCCCATGTCATATCGGCATGCATATGCTGCACTAAGGCGACATTTCTCTCGATTCGGACATGGATCCTGCTGAAGCACTAGACGGCTTAGGCGAGCTTCGGAGCTTCACGCGCCCTCCAGCAGCTAACGCACCCATCTCCGTGATCTTCTTGGTAGACCTCTCGGACAGTATGAAGACGAGGGACATTCGCGGAAGGGAAGGGCTCCGTCGGATCGATGCAGTTGTGGATGTGCTCAAGAGCTTTATCGTTCAGCAGCGGACTGCGGGTGCTGTGACGGACCTGTACAGTGTAATTACACTGTCCAACAGCAACTATGAGGTCAAGTTCCTAAGACATAGCGGCTCCGAAGCAGTTGCGGAGCTCGGCCGCGGTTCCTTTGAGCCTTCTGGCTCTGTGCAATACCAGAAGATAGTCACTGCACTCGAAGAGGTGGCTGTTCCTGGCCAAGTCTGCCGTGCCATCTTCATGTCTGATGGCTGCTCTGGTTCTTTATCGTGCCATGTCCTCCCGGACTTTCAGGCTCTGTTTGCATCGAACCCGCATGTTGTTCTTCATTGTATCGGCTTCGGACCAAAGGACTTCTCGATCATCCAGCAGCTTGCGCAGATTGGCCGCGGGAGTTTCAGTTGTGCAAGCTTGGACATCGAGAATCTTGTCAACACCTTCTCTAGTCTCAGCAAGACAGTGACTGAAACGAGGAGCACCGTGCACCACGGCGACCGGGAAGCTCGTCAAGTTGCCTTCGAAAGTGCGCGTCGCTTTCATTTATTGCCTACAGCTAAGTCAAAGTCTATGAGACCTCGGGAGGCGTTGCGCTACACATTCTGGCTGGGACGAGGTGGTCTCAAAATAGCAACCAAAGACAGGTGCAACATTCAACTACACAAGAGTCCCTTCATGCAGGGAGGGATGCGCCTGGTTTACAGGTGCCGCGATGCAGACATCCCGACGGAAAAATGGTCGCAAAGATCTCGAGGTATGTCGAGCACGACAATTCATGGCAGTTCGTGAGGGACTTTGTGTTGAACACAGTTCAAACTCGCAGGCTGACTCAGAAGTTTCATCAAGCTTTTTGGTGGGCTTTAGCCTGCGATTGGGAGCCTAGGCGACTTGTGTCATGCACACAGGCCTGGGTCTACGATGTGCTTGCGACCCAGCATCATCCACGTGTACTTTGTGTTGCAGAGTCGTTCTTAAAGGGATCAGAAAGAGGCTTCACCAAGTGGATCAACAACCGTGGCGAGATACTGATTCCACCAAGCAGCACAGAGTACAGCATGGCCGTGGAAGCTTTTGCACATTTCTCGTTGGATTTCAGCCGGGGCAACCTCATGGTGGCTGATCTTCAAGGAGTTCTGTTGCCTGGTCACGGGAAAGGTCGACGGGTTCATTTGACAGATCCTCAAATTTTGTCACTGGAGCAAGAATTTGGTGCCGCCGATCTGGGCTCTTCCGCTATGCAGAAGTTCAGGTCGCTGCATGTCTGCAACAGCCTTTGCAGGAGGCTCCACTTGTCTTCGCTGGATGCCATGCCACGAGCGCCCAGAACTCGCAAGGCAATCTTGACTGCCCGACGTGGACCTTCGCTGCCCACAGCCCCGCCTCCACTGCCCCCCAAGCCTGTGGTCCCCGCGTCTAAGCCAGAGCGCGGCAGGTCGCCTGTGCGAAGGCAGGCAGGCAGCGAGCATGGGCTTCGCAGTGACGAGACCCTGAAAGCCCAGGAGCTGCTTCTCTGTGAGTGCCGGACGAAAGCCAAGCGACTGCTCTTCGTGGGAGAGTGCACCCATCTCTTCACAGTTGCTGCTGCACGGCTCGTGGCTTTGTGGCTCCGGTCCGAACATCCTCGTCTGGAGTGGTGTACCACAGAGCTCTCATGGCCCACATCAGAGAAGATGAGATCGGAGCTTTCTGCCTCCCGGGCTAGCCTCCGTCCTTTCGGCATCGACATGTCTGAGAACGTGGACGCAACGAACCTGCAACTGAAGCTCGAAGGATTGGCAGGTGCAGTCTGGGCTGCGTCCTCAGTTCTGTGAGCAGGTTGAATATAGAGCATATGTGCACACGCAGGAGCTTTGGAGATGTGCAAGTGCGGCTTGCCTAGGTCATGCCATTTCCATGCAACATGCAGGCACGATCTAGCAGCCGAGAGGTCATCACGGACACACAAGGCCTGTGCACACGATTTGTGCAGAGTGCCTCCATGCAACTCCGACCTCATGGCCGGACTGATGCTTGTAGGAACCTGCGCGTCACACACGCAGGTTAAATCACATTGGTTCCAGTTTAGATTGGGATATGGGCTGATATGGGGTGCGAGCTCGAGGTACTTGGATCCTTCTGCGGATGGGGTTGGTGGCACTGTCAGCATCATCCTGCTGGCTCACCAGCACTTGGCATGGAAGTTGCCGATCACCTTGCAGACACGTCGCTGGTCTTGGCTTTAAGCGGCAGGTTGTCATACATGCCGGGGCTAAGACGGCATGGTTTCGGTCTGAAGGCTTCGGACAGTTCTCCCTAAATACAGCATGCTGGCCTTGCCCCTGCAGGTGCAGCATCCATATGCGCACACCTGCAAGTCGCGGCTCTGCAATGCCTGTCATTTGCATCCCTGCCGAGGTTCGGGCGCATTTCTTCGGGAAGTCTTCTGGATGGACCTTGTTCCTTTCTTGACCTATGGCTATCGCCCACGATTCGGAGACAACCGTGACTCCCAAAGACGAGCAAGGCCGGGTCCTACCAGCGCTATTGAGGAAGCCGTTTTTGAAAGCTGTTCCTGAATGACAGGCCCAGAGGCCGTAGATCGGTGGCTTTCTAAATTCTTGTGAGTGCCGACAGTTTAGGGCTTATAGGGTTTAGGGAAGTTTAGGGTTTAGGGTTTAGAGGCCGATCTTTCGACAGGCGCGGTGCTTTTGCCACTTCGCCAGAAATCGCGAGCAGTAGCAAGAACCAGCTCTATAGACGTACTCTTCTCGTCTCAGGTACCACGAGGGTGATGAAGTCGTCATCGTACGATGGCGCAGAAGGCTCAACGAGGAGCAGCTCTTCTCTGAACGCCTCAGCCCCCAGTTCTGCTAAGACGCTCAATGCTGAATGCATTGCATAGCGACATTCCACAAACTAACCCTCGGATCGTACAACTCATATCCTAAGCCCAAAGGGTCCATGTACCTCAGTATAGCCTTTGGCTTCGAGGGCTTCCGAGTTTGGGAATTTCTTAAAGGACAAGCTGTAGACTTTACCGGTACATGGACCCTCGAAAGAAGCTTAAACTCGCTCCGACCGGAATCGTCTCTTCTGCAGGACGACCAGCCTGGAGGGATGACAGACACCTGGATCTCATTTTGGATTTGGATGTGTAGCGATTATGGGCTGATAGTGTTCAGTGTAGGATTTATGGCCGCTCGGACTTGCAGGGCGTAGGGGCTTTGGGCATTTGTGTTTCGCAAGGCGTAACTAGCAGTTTAAGTCGCTTTTTGGGTTCTGCGTGACACCGAAATGTACACACGAACCGAACCTACCTCGAGCCCTCTCTTCTTACTCCTATAACATCCCTAAACGACTCGTAGTTTACGGTAGCTTGAAACCTTGAGGACTGAACTGCAAAATGAGAGGCTTCAGAACCCCTATAGTACAGTTGAGCAGAGGGCCTTTTTCAAGATACTCCCGTGTAGAAAGCCCTTCAGGATCAACGTGTGCGAAGCGAAAGCGCCAACCGACGGAGCTGCAGCCGTGGGCGGAGCAGCAGTCGGGGGCGCCGTGATCGGAGCCGGTGAGGCGCACGGTGGCCCCACAACGAGAACTTATTGTCTACTAGTCTACGTGCACGCTTTATGTCGGTACATGGCTTTGCATGTGTATATCCGCATCGGTGTCTGTCTGTGCTTTTCTTTTGCGTAAACTAACCTGTGTTTCCTTCACCAAACCTGAGATCATAAGATGTTTTCGATCATGGGGAACCGACGTTGCTTAGACACTCGGCGTTCTGTCACAATGCCACTTCTGTTCCGGGACATGGGATGGAGTTTCCGGATCGTTTGCACCGTCGCAGCACCATCCGTGAACAGCTTCAGCCGTTCATGGCTTACGATGGTATGTGATAGTTTCAGGTTCAATGGGGAAGCCAACCGCATGTTTTGCAGATCCGTCCGCGCTAGGCCACGCAAGGGCTCCCACTCCAGGTGGGCAAGGACACTTTGGCTCTCAATCGTACGACTGTACCTTACGGACGAAATGACCCTTAAAAGTAGGGGCCCTGTACCCTTTTTCTGTGGAGCCCTACATGGTATAGGAGCCCTAAACCCTTTTGGGGTTCATTTCGTCCTTAAGGTATGGATGTTACGTCCGACCATCGGGTCGATACAACTTTGAAAGCTGCCTTCCGAGACTGTCGGGGGTAGTCAAGTGCTGCGGCGATGCTCCAGTCATGTCTGTAAAAACTACAGTAAGATACCGTAGGTTTTCATATTACAATGACGAATGCTGCCGGACCGCTGCTCGTGCTAATCGCTTGCCAAGAAAGTGGCCCTTTCTGTAGACATGCCAGCCCGCTGCCTGCAGCCGAGCAACGAAGCCTTCCCAGTTTAGACTTACCTTGATGATTGAGTTGCCTTGTTAAAACCGTCACGATGTATGCCACAATCCGGCTTGCGCGGCCTGGCGCATGTTGCAGACATCGGCTGTTCTTGGCACTCGAGGTATAACGGTATAACTTATGGCTCAGTTTCTCAGCGCACTGCATCACCGGAAGGCCCTCTGATCCTGCCGGGAGCGTTGCTCTCGGATGCAGGCGTCTCAAGTTGCTACCATCTGAGACGTCTACATCCAACAGAGCTGATGCAGCTGCAGCTACTTCCACCCTGGCCTGCCTGGGTCGAATTTCGTGTTTAACACTCCGAGCGCGGGAGCTGTCGGTGTTGGTTTGGGAGGTTTAGCTGAGGGCTATCGGTTTAGGAAACTTACAAATAGGTAATCGGAAATCCTGTATGCTTGGAAATACTTGCCCCCAGCGCGTGTTTTTATCAGGATTGAATAGTGCTTGTGAGAGCTGCTCGAAGAGGCTGGTGGGCTTGAACAGACATGATGTTCTCAGCAATTCTTGCATCACGATCTGGTCGTTAGCTCTGCTTGTGCATACGAACACGGCCCAACGGAGCACAGCAAGCCTCATTGAAGTATCAGCCTGAGGAGAAACTCAAAAGCAGAATTTGCCTTGCCTTGTCTGCTGACTTCAGCAAAGCATCCTTTGTCTGAGGCGCCCTCTCTGCTGGCGACGCTCACTGACCTTGTACAGGTTTCTTCAGCCTTACACCATGAGCAAGTTCCAGTCCAGTGATCGTGGTAGCCATCTCCCCTCCCCAAGAAGTAGTCAGCACTTGGTTTCACAGCTGCCGCTGCACGCTTTGGATGTCTGGCCAATGCCAGTCCGATGATTCGTTCGTGTCCGTGCGCAGTCTTTCGGTCACGCTCTTTGAAACAGTCTGCGGGGCCCTGCAAAGGCTCACCGCAGCCGAATAAATTTGCTACGACAGACAGAGGGAGGGAAGGAAAGCAGTCAGAGCCCAACGCCATGCTAATCCCTACACCCTAAACTCTAAACCCTAAACCCTACACCCTAAACCCTAATCCCTAAACCCTATAATCCCTAAACCCTATGCATCGTCATGCATCTTCGCTCGGAATCCTGAGCTTTGAGTTGATCCTCGTCCTTGTTTCTGACATCAGGCGCCCAGTGGCCCTTCAGAGGCGTTTAAAAGCACCTTGAGTCTGGCAGCCCGTTCAGGCTTTATCTGCTGCCTGTTTTGCAAACTTGCAGACTGAGCTATGGCTAGTTGAGTCGGATGCATCTGTAGTATCATGTGATAAATCCAATAAAACCGATCAGCGAAAGTGTGATATGATGCTTGTAAATATTCATGCATCGTGCTTCCTCTGCGGCCTTTTTTTGATTTGCACCAGTGTACGAATCGACTAACGACGATAGGTTGCCCTGTTGAGGGCTGTGGCGGGCACACTGCCAACAGCCTAAACCATATAGAGTCATGCAGCCCTGAGCCAAAACCCTGAAACAAGGCACAAGGAATCAGGTTCCCCTAATTACACCCAAACCTCAAACCCCAAACCCTCATCCCCACAACTTAAACCCATAGCAAAAAATCTTACCCTTCACCTTGAACCCTAAATCCTCAACCTTAAACCCTAAACCCTAAAGCCTGAACCCGAAACCCTAAACTGTACACCTCAAGCCCAAAGCCCAACCCCTAAACCCTAAACCCTGAACCCTAAACCCTAAAGAAACTCATAGCCTAAACCCTAAACCTTGAACCCAAAGCCAAACGATTTGCCCCCTTCGCTGCTGGCTCAGTTGCAGCCCTACACAGCCTCCAGTCCGGGAGCTTCCAGTTGCACAGGCCAGAGCCCCTTCTTTTTTTTTTTTTTGTTTTTTTGGGTTTTGGGGTTTAGGGTTTTGGGTTTAGGGTTTAGGGTTTAGTTTGTCGGAGGGCTTGTATTGGGGGCTCATGCAGTTTTTAGAGGGGTTGATCGTGTGTGGATTCTGTTTGGTGTTCTTTTTTTTTTTGGAGGGGCTGGTGGAGGGTGGGAAGGTTGAGGTTGAGGTCTTCAAGACAATTCCAGGGTTCAAAGCTCCATGATGCCTATGATAGGCTTCTAAAGGATGTACTGTAGGCTTGATGGAGGGCTTATGGTTATTGAACCTCGGAAAATCAACGACCGACACCTCCCGATATCCTACGTAGAATGCGCAATGGATGCAATCCACTTCCCAGAGTTCAATATTGATTCAATATCGACAGATTCTGACTTCGAAGCCTTGGAGGCAAATGGGAGTTGAGATCCGGTAGTCCGAACCCCACCTACAGCAACTGAGGTCGCTCTTGATGACCCAGGCATAAGACTAAGATAGCACTGTATTACACACTTTAGCCTTGACAGGGCTCCGGCAGTGGTGTTGTATGATACACTATGTGTAGTTACATGGCATAAACCCCTAAGCCCCTAAGAAGCCCTAAACAGTAAACTGTTCAACCCGAAGCCTTCACCCTAAACCCTAAACCTTAAACCCTAAAACCCTAAACCTTCTTTGGAGGCCATGGCGCAGGATTTGTCAAATCCGGAAGCTCCGGGCTGGCCAAGCGACTGGGAGAAGGTGGCTTGGGCCCCGAGCTCTCGAAGCGTAGCCCGTGAAGCCCCTAGCTACGTGTTTAGGGCTGGCTGCACATGATGGTATCCCTTGAGATTTTCTATTCAAGCTTAACTCTTTTAACTACACTATAAAATGCCCCTCAAAACCCCGTTCGAAAAATCAAAATTCCAAAGGCGAAAGATTTAAAATCTACTCCACGCTCTCACTATGCTTCCCTTATATTCGTTAAAGAGGTAGGTCTTGGGTGATTCAAGTAGGGCTGCTTAGACAAGGAGTCTGGTACAATCTTCTTATAGTCGTTAAAGAGGTATGTTGGGGGGTTCAAAAAAAGCTGCGTAGACACGGAATCCGCTGCAGCCGTTTGAACCGGTTGTGCTTTCGCCTTCGGCTAGTAGCTTCGATGTAGGAAGAGGAGCTTGACTTAGCACCCTCCACAACGTGGGGTTCTCAAAGCTTTGTTGGCAAGATTGTGGCAGGCCATTTTGTCCAAAAGTCTGTACCCATAGGCCCCTAAGTAGTTCCTTTGGGATTACCTTATAGGATTCTAAATATAAACCATATAGAACTACTTAGGGGCCTATGGATAGGTTATTGCTGTTAATGGCTTGGGGAACCATGGCCAAGTGGGTTTTTCGTTCTTTGCATGCTCGGCTCCTACCAGCATATATACCTAGGGTCCCGTCTTCGTCTTCGGTCCCCAAAATTAGTGCGGCACCCTTATCCCCAAAAGGGACCCTCATTTAGAGAACATGTAGGTCCTGCCGCAGGCATTGCGACGCCTTCTTAAGCTCCCTTCCGTAGAGCGGCAAGAGCAGCAAAGGAAGTGGAGCGCCCTTGCTGTGACTTAGGGGTCTAAACCCTATAAACCTAAACCCTGAACGCTAAAACCCTAAACCCTAGGGGTTTAGGGTTTAGG